AGCAGGTGAGGGTGGGGGTGCTGTGGACGGCTCCTCTTGATGTGGGTGGTGAGCCGGCAAGCACTGTCCTAGGTGAGGCACAGGGACACATTTCCATGGCAAAATGTAGATGTGATGGACCTGCAACCTTGTGTCCTGTGGATGGCTCCAGGAAACACACTTAACCAGGAGCTGCAAAATTCACTGGCCTGCCAGGCACAGAGCAAAAGGAGGAAAGCACAGCCTGTTTGAGTTGAACCCGCTGGACCAGGTTCTAGAGTCTTCTTGAAGTCCCAGGCCAGATCAAGAAAAAAAAAATCAATAGAAAATAAGAAGGTAGGGGCCCTCCCCGGTGGCCCAGCGGGTTGGAGCGCTGCACTGTAAAGCTAAGCCAAGCTGTGGCCACTTCAGTGAGAGTTGGATCCCTGCCCCAGAGGTGACCCACATGGCGTGGCAGACCTCTCCTGACCTGCCCGCTGCTCCCCTCAGCAGTATACTTCGTCGATCTGCTTGTTCTGCTCCCTGCTTTGACTTTGGTGAATCCCTCTTACCGCCCCTGCAATTCTGGCCTGTACCCCATTTCTGTATGCATGAATAAATAAAATCTTAAAAAAGAAAATATGAAGATAAAGGGGAAAAAAGAGAAACCAGGTAAGAGGAGCAGCAGTGAAAGACCCCACAAGAGGTCACAGGACGAATGACACGGGTAGAAGAAATTGTGTCTTTGGGGTGATGCTACATTGCCCAGAGAAGGGCTCAGGGTTCCCACAGGCACATTCCTGAGAATTTCTTCCCAGAGGAGAAAGTACAGCATTTTGTCATATACAGAAAATTAAAAAAAAACAAAAACGTTAACAAAGCATAGCTGTAGGATTTATGATGTCTATGTCGTCATGTCTGCACAATAACGTTAGAAGCAGTGGGATACTGGTTGAAGGATGAGACGAAGCCTAGTTTTTGTCATTTCCTTAATCTCCTTGCCCTCTTCTACATCATTTTATATTAATTTTTTAAATTTTTAATTCTTGTTATATTAAAAAATGCCTTGGTAGCTAGCTAGCCTGTGATAGAAAAAAGCTCAGCAACAGTTGGCATTTTCTTATAAAAGCAGAACAGTCTCACCCACACTCGCCCATGGGAAGATAGCTGTTTCAGTGTGACAGCTGACAGGTCCTCTGTCTCCTCGCTTGCAGGAAGAAATGCTGGGCCATGGAGGTGAGAGCCAGAGGGCCACAGCGTCAAACCTGTCAACGCTGAATCAGCCAATGACTCCAAAGGTGACATGGCCACGGTGAACGCATGACAAAGCCTTAAAACAAGGACCAAACCTCCGGAGGAGAGAAGGAGACAGGATAAGTCTGCAGGCGTATGTGTCATGTTATTGCAAAACTTCAGCTGCCCAGTGGAACCTTTCCAACATCAACAGTCCCCAGGCCAGAAAACAAACCTGGCGTCACAGGGTCTGAGTGTGAAAGAAGGATGTTTGGGGTGTAAAAGAAACTGGGATGGCCTTTTTTGCCTCTGACAGAAAGCTAGAAGAGCACTTGGCCAGAGAGCTTCTCGGGGACCACTTGAACCTCCCTACAGACACAGTTTAGCTGAACCCAGAATCTCTCCTCAATCTCTAATGGCAAAGAGGCTTGGAGGCCTGACCTAGGGGCTCCCGTCCACGCCAGAGCCAGCTGCCTATACTCTGTAGTGTATCTGACTTCGCATCAAACCAAAGGTAAGAAAGCAATACAGAAAGACAGTCATTCAGAGGAGCCATTGTTTTCTAGCCATTAAGGGGTCCTCCTATGTATGCCAGGTGTTTTATATATACTGTTGACACTGCAGAAATATCCTGTAAGTCACTAATAACTGTGTTTTCCATACAAGGCAATCAAGGTTCAGGGAAGTCGATGAACTTCCTTAGGTCATTCAGCCTGTGGGTAGGAAGTCAGCACTGGAGGCCGGATATGAAAGCCCATGTTCTTGCTATTATATGGTTTATCTCTTCTATAGAAAAAGATTCCTTGAAAGTCAAGCTTCAGGATGCTTCCTGTGACCCCATTTGCAGGATCCTGCACAGAACAGAATGTGACAGCTTGACAAGGCTCCTGTGGGCTAGCCAAGGCATGTGAGCTGCCTAGAGTGCCTGTGGGTCCCCCCTTGGGCACATCAGGAAACATCTCAGAAGGCAGGTCTCCCATTTCTGCTTGGTTTATGAGAGGGACCAAAAAAGACACCCCCCAACTTACCCCCCCCACACACACACACATTCCCACTCAAATGCTTCTATTTCAACCCTATCTGCCAGGAGCCAATAAACCTTTTTCTGAAAAGAGTCAGATAATGGTCGGGTCAGGTGGTCTCTGTCACAGCTATTCAACACTACTGTTTAGCACAAAAATACTTATGGGCAATATGGTACAAAAAATGGATGTGGCCATATTCCAATAAAACTTTATTTGCCAACCCCTGCTACATGTCTTTTACACATACATCAAAAAGAGTGATGAGCACTCAGGCAGTATTACCACTTGACCATGATGTAGAAAACCCCCAATCTATTAGGAAATTCTGATCATTTCTGCTGACTTCCATTTCTCCCAGGGAAACTTTTTTAAAAAGACTTATTTATTTATGCATACAGAACTGGGGTACAGGTCAGAGGAGCAGGGGTGGTGAGAGGATTCACCAAAGACAGAGTGGGGAGCAGAACAGGTTGATGGATGAAGTACACTGCTGAGGGGAGCAGCGGGTGGGTCAGGAGAGGTCTGCCACGCCATGTGGTCACCTCTGGGGCAGGGATCAAACTCACGCTGGCTGACGTAGTTTTAGCTTCTTAGTGCTGTGCTTTAACCCGCTGCGCCACCAGGGAGGGCCCTCTCCCAGGGAAACTTTAGCTTTCCTCAACCATCCTGTCTTATACATTAACCGATAGCCATAACCATAGAGCCATAACTGGGGTCAATGAGGAAAAATAAAGGCAACTGGGCACCCCAATGGAGGGGAGCTAGTTCTACCTGCCTGAGAACCATTTCTCAAAATGACTAGATTCACCCAGATGGAAACCATAAAGTGAATGCAAATGGAAAGCAAAAGAACTTGAGCAGACGCAAACATCACCAATGACTTGGCACCAACACTTCCTACACGCAGGGAACACAGCTCTAGGTGACACACAATCTGTCCCCAAGTACTTAATACTTAAGTACTTAGTAGCTTGACCAGAGCAGTCACGCCCTCTGTCAGCCTGCGACTTTGCATCTGTCAGATATGGACACTCTTCAGGCCTAGGCCTATAGTGAATGTGACCTAACATAGGCAGAGTTCTAAGGAGCTGCCTCAGACCAGCTATGGGGACAGAGGTGGTTCTGACCTCACAGTGCTCTTTTCTCCTCCATCCTTCCCCCAAATGATCAAGCACACTGAGTTGGATTCTATAATAGATATAGTAGACAGACAGGAATGTTCTTGACCTCTTTGCTTGTGTAGCCTACATAGAGAAACTGACCATTGGTAGACAAAAACAAGATACATGGGAACAAGCGCCAGATGCCGACTAAGTGTTCCAGACAGAAGGTGCAGAATGATTTCAAAGCCAGATCATCTTCACATCTACCACTTGACCGCACATGAAATTAATGTTTGGACCGAAAATTTGCAGACCTGCTGGGGATTCAGGATGAATGGGGTGGGGGTGGAGGAAACCAGTTGTAGATATCATTCCAGATACCACAGTCACCAAAACTCACTGTGTTTGCCTGACAGTGAGCGGGTAGAAGGTTCTAAGAAGCTTCCTAATAGGTGTTTTTGCTTAGGGTGACAATCACAAATTCTTGGCACTATAAGCTATATCATTAATATTTTTCCTACCAATAATGTAGACATTAACCCAGCCTGTAATCACAATCCTTGGAAGGCGAGATGGTGACCCAGAATGAGACCGAGGCTCAAACAGATTATTTGACTTGATTGGGTCACTCACCATTTGGAACCAGAAAATGCCACATCTCCCTGATTCCAACACCTGTACTTTAACCTTGGCACTGTTTTCTCAAAGACTCTGGCCCACAGGGGTTCACATGGTCTCATTCCCATCCCAGCCCCCCAGGCCTCCCCCAACTTTCCTCTAACAGGGAATCAGACAGGTGCAAAGAGACTGACCATCTCAAATCACAGAGAAAACTCCAAGGCTGCCTGGATCTTGCCCTGGTCTAAATTATTCCATGCACGCAAGTGCCCACATTGCTACCTGTAGGGACAACTGATAACCCTAAAGAGAGTCGAGGATGGCAAACTGACAATTAAAAGTTTGTGTAAAAAGTCTTCCTACCAGTCCAAAGGAGTGTAACTTTTGTTTAGACTCTGTTGGTTAAAAAGACCAGACATAAATTATGCCAGGTGGCATTTCTCACATTTCAGCAGTGTTAGGCTGAAAGCAAGCTGATTGCCCCTGAAAGAGGTGCAGGTTAGGCTTGTTAGTGTATTTTCCTATCGATTGATACCTGGTCTTTATTAATGGCATATGAACCTTGTTGACTTTGGTCTTCATCAGAGGCAAATGAACACTACAAACAAACCCTATGAATCTGAAATCGCTTCAAAAATTAGCACATTTTTAATGAAGTTCAGTTAATAATCAAAAGCTGACACACACAAGACCCTCATCAGATCAAGCCAGAAGATCTGGAATTATAAGCAGCTATTTTGAATCTCAAAAACACATAATCAAGTGTCTCGAGTCTTGAAGTCCAGCTCCATCTAAGCCCAGCCGTTCTTCCTTCAAATCCTTTTGCATGGCATAGAGAAAGTTAATTAAAGCATAAAATGAGAAGTTTTTTTAGCCAAAGAACCCACATGTCATCAAAGATGATTCCTGAATAGCTAATTAATAGAAAATAAATTGGAAGGGATTAGCACATAGAATCTGAATTTTCTAGCTGTAGCGATTGACCTGTCAAGTCCACACAGGAGTTAGTTGTGGGTCAACTGCAGGGGTTGCCTGCTTGTGTCATCTGGGATACATGATTTACCTGAATTCCTTATGTTGGTGTTGTTCAGTTTGGAGTCCTTGATGACCAAGTGCTTAATCCACAGAGTGGGAGCTGTGATTTCTGAAGGGAAAATGGGAAGAGAAAAAAACAAAGTCTGAGCAAGAGAGCATGTTAACTTGAAAGAAAAATCCCCAGACATCTCAGTAGCTGTTTATATGTTTCAAGCATCAAGACTTGTGCTATCTCCCTATTCTAGATCCACTTTTCCCTTTCTATTGACACTCCCCTGGTCCAACCAGGGCCTCCTGTGCTGGGAGGCAGAGTGGTCAGAGTCCAGAGGTGCTCAGCCACTCCATCCAGGAATAAAAATATTATCCCAGGAGGTAAGGAACATGGGCCAAGCCAAGGCTCTCTCAGCTGCTTCCCTGGAAGAAGATTTAAAGGGGATAAATCAACAAATGAAGGCCAAACAAGCCACAAAGACCATTTTGGAGGAAATGGCTGTGCCACAGCAGATTTCAGCTTGCTGAGACTTTGTTCCATGTGGGGAAGAAAGACATGGCCTAATGTGTGTTCAAGTCCCTTCCTCGTGGTATCTATACCATGACTCAGAGACTGAATTCCCCCACCCAGTGACTTCCAGGGTGCCTCCAGGCTCTCCAGGGCTTGGGTCACTCAGAGACATTCTCATGTGATGGGAGAATCCCTGATGACCCTGAACCAACCATAGAGTGACAAGATCTTCAGAGGGATCTTAGAGAGGTCTCCCAAGTTGACACGGTCCCCACTCCCATCCTACCCTCCCTCCCCTTCCCCACACTCACCAATGATCCAGGGTGTTTTTGGACCACTAAAATATTCAAACTGATAGACATGAACATACATATTTTACTAAATGACCACTTTCAAAGACTCTCTCAAATTTCCATTCTTCTCTCTAGAGTTGCGCCTAGGGACACCACTAGCTAACATACCCACCAGTGGCACAATTTCTTTTTCTTCCCCTGAATGTTCTGTCTCATGACCCAGGCCTGGACACATAGACTAAACTCTGCTTACAGGCTGCTGCCTATGGCACTGAGAGTCAAACCTTGTCAAACTCTACAAGTGCACTCCTGTTCCTCCTGGTGGGGTCTGGGGTGTGCCATGAAGCACACTGACCAATGCAGGCCCTGAGCAGCTCAAAACTGAATCAGGGCCTGACCTCAGCACCCCAGGCTCCTCCAATTTACTCTTTATAGCTGATCTCTATCTTTGCCACCAGCTGACACAATTTCACTATGACCTGGAATTTTATCCTCTCCAAGATGTCTTGACTCAGTGCTCAAGGTCCTATAACTTAGCTAAATAAGAACCAGTCCACCAGTCTCTTTCCTGCTGCTTTCCCCATGACCCCCCACCCCCACATGATTCCCTCTTTTGTCTGTGGCAACACTCCTGCCTGCGATGTCTTGATTCCACCTTTCCACTTTCCAGACCCAATTCAAGTGCCATCTCCTCCAACATCTTTTCCCAGGCCATTGTGATCTCTTTCTTCCATGAATGCTCATTACAGTAAAAATGGAGACATTACAATTAAACACATAGTTCTCTACATGTTGCAACTATCCTGAGAACAAAGGTGTCCACCTGGATTTCTCCCTCATTCCCCATCAGGCTGCCCACAAGCTGGCACAGAACAGGAAGAGCGCTGGTTCATTTACAGAGGGATACTGCCCGCCTGACTGTGTCCCTCAGCCCTGGCTCCTAGGTCTTGGCAAGGGTCTGTCCCGGCTGTATTATTTTTGGACATTAGCAGCCAGGCAGGAAGCCTGGCAAGAACATAGGACCTTTCCAAAAGTGGAGAGTGTACCAGTTCCTGGGAGGATTTGCATTTTTTTTTAAAGGTTAAAACAACCTAGGTTAAACTGGGAAAAATTAAAAAAGAAAGCAATAACAAAGCTTAAACAAACATTCAAAGGAAGGACCTTCCCCAAATCTGCAAATAGGTGGGACAATGCAAGTCGGAAGTAATACCAGAGCTTACCATCCCCGTCAAACACCGGCTGAGTCTCCGCTGTGGGCGTCGGCTTCGACCCGTCATCTGAATTGAGGGTTAAAAAGAATCGAAAAGAGACTACCATTATTGAGGTAAATACTATCTACTCTCCAGCACTGTTGAATGGTTGGGGTTTGCACATGGCCCGGCCAAGTCCCAGTGAAGATACCAAAGAGGAAGGAAGAACAGAAGCAAAGAGAAGGAGGAAAAGGAGAACCACAGAAAGACACCGTCAGCTCTCCGTCCCCGAGAGGGACAAAGGCAGCAAGAGGCCACGGCTGTGGGGCGCCTTCTCCAGCAACCCCACTGTGCCAGCACATCCGTCAGCTCTTGTTTCTCCGCAGTGGCGAGCCAGGAGCCGTCTCCCCAAACACCCTGAGTTGGGGCCAGCACGCTTGTGGCATCAGAGAGAGGTGCCCCAGTTCCTTCTCTCCTGCTCGGAAACCAGCCCAGCTCCCTTCATGGAGGCATTTCAGGAAAACAAGAGGCTGCAATGCTGCTCCCTCCGAACTCCGAGGCTCTGCTCTGTTTTCATTTTTAAAAGACGAGCTGGCAGGAAGGACCATTCTGTCTCGAGCACGCTGACCTGAAGAGATGGGGGGGGGGGGCTCTTTAGAACACTTTTAACTCGGAAGCAGCGCGCAGTCCAGTTGCCAGGAAGAGGTGAGGGCACACAGAACAGGAGGGCGTGTGTGGGCAATGCACCAGACTGTGCTCTCAGGTCCTAAGGTAGAGGATGGGCTCAGGGGGCTCCCAGGAGCCACGTCTTAACGCTCATCATCTTCAGTGTCAGCAGCGCTCTGTGCAGCGGGAGAAGCTCCGCAAGTCAGGAGTGAATGTGGACTTGATTTACGTTTCAGAACGCTGAGCTATTTTCACCAAAACCGTAGCTTAGAGCCGTGTTTCTCGATCTTTGCCTTTTTCATTACTACCCGCTTTACAAATGCTTGTAAACATTTCCCTGAGTCACCATCCAAGAGAAATTATAAAAACGAAGATCTGCTGTATGTGTTTGCATAGTGTGTGTGCATAAATGAGTATGTATCACATAGTGGGGGCTTGGGTCTTTCATAGGCTTTGCATGTACAGGGAGCAAGGATTCCTAACACCCCACCAAGACCCAGTTTTCACCTCCTTGGAGAAGGTGGGGAGCAAGAACCTTTGCCCTGATGAAGAATTCAGTTTAGCGATTTTATCTCCTTGGGGGTGGGGGGGTGGAAGGAGAACACTGTGAGCTCAGTTTGATGATTACACCATCAGTCTCTTCCCAAGACCCTCCAAAGGTCTTTTGGAACTGAATACTAAATTCACTGATATTAGCTATTTATGGAGAGGGGAAGTGCTGAGAGAGCCTCCAAGACGCCAGTCAGATGGTCAGTAACAGCCCGGCGCCATTTGGAGTTCCCAGGACCTCCATGACTTCCCTGACTCTTACCAGCAGAGACAGGAAGAACACAGAGTCCTGATCCCTTTCTTGCACCAACACCCTCACCTGGGGATCTTAACCGAGGCCCCAACCTGACAGCAGGCGACAGCTGATGACACCTGACCTGCTGTTGTGTTCAGGTGCTGACACCGAGATCTGGCTCCCAGAGGGGCCGAGGCCATCCTGAATTATCTAGCAACCATCTCAAGGAACGCAATGAAGGAGGAAGAGAAGAGCAACCGTGTTGCATATCTCATGGGCCTCCAACTGAAGTCTGGAGCCGGCATCTTTGGTGCTGAGCTGTGCACGTTTGCTCTGGAAGTCATCGAGAGGGAATAATCACAGAACAGAGCCACACCGTGTCATCGCGTGCACAGCGTCGCTTCCCCTGACTCTGTTAACACCTCTTTCTTTTGAGTTCAGTGAGTCACTGGTGAAGTCTTTGGCAGCTGCAAGGCACATTTGGTCATTCCTGCCGATGCAGAGTCCACGGTTGAAGCAGCCCCGTGCTCAAGCCCTCTGCACGGGGTGGCTTTATTTTAGGAGTGTTCAGGGTAACAAAGGGAAAGCGAGATGTTAAACATTCCCCTAGAGACCATGGTGAAAACCCAGGTGAAAGAGGGGTACATGATATTTTAATATTCCATTTAAAACCTCTCCTACTACAAGAGCTGGTGCTCTCTTTGGGGCAGAAGAAGAGAAAAGATTCTGCTTATTTCCCCCATCATCCAGACTGGAAGCTAGGATGCCCCATCTGGTCCACTGAGCAGCAAAGAGAACAAGGACAGTTCCCACCTCCAGGGGAAGTTTTGCACTCCTGCAGGACAAGACTTCCACAATCGCCCAGCTGTGGGCCCAGAAGCCCACAGAGCATGAAGCCACGTGCCGGGAGAGAATCTTGCTGCAGGGGAGGGTCACCGAGGGTGAGGAGGCACAGCTGCACTACCACAATGGAGGCCCCAGATGGAAATCTTTATGGGGTGAGAAAAGAAAGGTGCCCTGATGCCAGAAGAGCCACCTGTGAAATTCAGCATGCCCAAAGGATGGGGAGCCAAGCCAAAGCCAACAGGACCCTCTGACCATTATGCCCGGGCACCTGGGCCCCTGGCTTCCAACCCAGCAAACAACGCACCCTTCTTCCAAGGCGTGGTTCCAAGGTCCACACCAGTTCTGCTTCCTGGCAAGCCTTGGGATGACACCGGGCCCCAGGCTGGGGAGAGTTCAGCTTCCACATGTGTCCCGGGTCTCCCAATCTTAAGAGGGGTTTCACTCCAGAACCTAGTTTTACATTCAAACAGTGGGGTAACCTGAACCCCTCACTTTTCCTCACTGATCTGTGAGAGCCTCTTCTAAAAAAGAAGATGCCAACTCTCCCACCCGCCCTGACACAGTGTAGGAGTAAGACTTATGGCCTCTGAAAGGAGATATAGACCGTGAGTGTGAAACCTTCGTATCCAACTGCCCACTTTTAAAATTGGATTTGAGAAACTGAAATCCCATCAAAGTTTTTAAATTAAATGTAAACCTTACAACTCAGTGAGAAGGCAAGCAACCTGATTTCTAAGTAGATGAGACAGTTTAGCTGAGTTTTCATCAAAGAAGATGTACAAACAGCTAATAAATACATGAAAAACATCATGAGTCATTAGGGAAACACAAATGAAAACCACAACAAGAAGACGACAGCCACTGAGCCGGGCTGCTGTGGCCTGCTGGCTCTTCATCACGTTACCAGAGGGTGTGAATGCTGCTTCACGCAGACAGCTTGAAAATAAAGTTCTGGAGAAACCAAAACTGTGGCAGGAAGACAATGGAATGCCAGTGCATGCAAAGGTGGAGGGAGCCGATGTCCTCTGGGCTAGAGGGGTGAGACGCTTGTCTGGGAGAACAGCTATGCCACAAAGCAGCTGGCTATGGCTTCATTTCCCAAGAAGCAGGGTTGGTTTCAGCTCATCACCCCAGCAATCAGCTGATTCAATGGATCAATAATCTGATAAGAATGTGAATTTTTTGAGGACAATTTTTTTTTAAGATTTATTTACTTATTCATACAGAACCGGGGTACAGACCAGAGATGCGGAGGGTGAGAGATTCACCAGAGACAGAGCGGGGAGCAGAACAGGCAGATGGACGAAGTACACTGCTGAGGGGAGCAGCGGGCGGCTCAGGAGAGGTCTGCCGCGCCATGTGGTCACCTCCGGGGCAGGCGGGGATCGAACTCATGCGGAAGTGGCTTTAGCTTCTTAGTGCTGTGCTTTAACCCGCTGCGCCACCAGGGAGGGCCTGAGGACCAATTTTTATTGGCTTTATGAAATGTCCCCCATAAGGCACTCTGTACCATGATAAAAACAAAATGACAATGAGGTGTCACTATGTTCCTACTAGAATGGCTTTTTGAAACAAGGTCAGTAGCCAGTACTGGTAAGGGTGGGGAAATTGAACCTGTTCAATTGCTGTTCATTGAACTCGTTCATTGCTGGTAGGAAAGTTGGGTAGTCACTTTGAAAAAGAGTGGTGATTTATTTAAGATGTACAAATTTTCCACTCAGCTCAGAAATGCCTCTCCTGGGAATCTGTCCAAGGAAAATAAAAAACATGTCCACCCAAAGACATGTATACAAATATTCATAGCAGTATACTCATAATAGCTTCAAATTGGAAACAAACCAAATGTCTGCCAGCTGGTAAGTAAAAATAGGCAAACAAATTGTGATATAGTCATATAATAGAATATTACTCAGCCATGAAAAGGAACGAACTAATACATGTGACAATATAGATGAACCTTATAAACATTATACTAAACAAAGAAGCCATGTGCAGATACCACATAGTGTCTGATTCCCCTTTTAAGAAACAACTAAAAGTAAATCTATAGAGATTTACATATTCCTAGTAGCTAGGACTGGTGTGGGTTGTGATGTGCCTGCAAATGGTACCAGGTTTCTTTTCAGGGTGATGGAAATGTTCTCCAGTAGTGGTAGCACAACTCTATAAAAAAGTGCTAATTTCATTGAATTGTATATTGACAATGGTTACCTTCTGTGCTACATAGTTATACTTCATTAACGCTATTAAAACAAAATGGAAACAGTAACAAAGTCTTCACAGATAGGTCACCTAGCAGCAGCTGCCAGATCTGTGAACAATCCTTAATTTGGGGGCAAATTACCATATACTGAAATATATACATCTGAATCTCAGTTTACAGATATGCCTATAAAGATATGATACTTAATCTTTTTTCTTGGTAATTTTTTGGACCTCAAGCAGACTTATTTCTCTATAATTTCATAATTCCTCTAGAGTCAAGTGGAAGGCAATAAAGCACTGATAGAGAAAATAAAACACAATTTAAAGATTATTGTTCTTCTTACTCAGAGAAGTAAACTTGAAACATGAAAAAAAGGAACACAACAATAATAAAGATAATGAGAGCATTTCTCAAACATGATGTCAAGATCAAAAATAAAAACATCACCACATTTGCAACACTTAGTTTCCTTTCTATTCTCACCCCCGGCCAGGGCGGGGAATGCACCAGGCAGACAAAAGGAGAGGGAGTCTAAGTGCAGAGAGGGATCTGCTCATGGCAGGAGAAGCAGTAAGCAGCCTTGGAAAGAGCCCAGAGTCGAGGGGTTAGCCTCCCCAG